ACTCTCCATCCCTTCACACCCTTCATCCCTCCCACTCTATGCACCCTCAGTCTACCCGACACCTCTCCTTCCATCTGGCCCCATTTATCCCATCGAGCCACCTCTGTCTGTCCCTTCCCACCCATTTGCCAGCCACCCTCCTAGTTCCTCTGTGCATCTATGGCTCTGCATTGCCATCCCGTGCTGGTCACATTCATCCCCCGGGCATCTCCTGCGCCACACCCCAGCCTGCCTGGCTCCTTCCACTCACCCACAAAGCAGAACCCAAGGAGGGAAAGTCTGGCGGGGAGTTCCATGGCGCCTGGGTCCCGGGCGGCTCTGCCCTGTGATGGCGCTGTGCGCTGGGTCCCGCTTCCTGACCCCCACCAAGTGGGTGTGGTTGACGTCAGAGGCGCTAGCGGAGTGGCCCATCCCCCACCTCCAGGCACCACATACGCCAACTCACTACTCCCTCCCAGGCCTTCTGCCGCCTCCATCACCTCGGCTTATGGGCTGCACGGCTTATGTGAGACCTTGGGGACTGAAAACTGAGGCCCAGAAGGCTGCTGGAATTGACACAAGGTCAGCTGGGAACAGAAGCGAGTATCCTGCATCCTCAAGTGGTGACAGATCACAGACGAAGGACCTTCAGCACCCACGCAGATGGCTACACCTCATTCTTCAATCGGCTGTGGCTGCTGGACAGGGCTGTCAGCTTGTTAGAGACAAAATTCCTTTGTGCACTCACGTGCAATCACACATATGTATGAAAGCCAATTAAGACCCCAGCGTGAACACATGCATATGCCAGTAAATTCACACCCCACATGCAAGTTCACACTTGTGCAAGCAGATTCACACCCATGTACAAACACATGCAGACTTGTGCAAGCCAATTCACACACTTGCAAACAGATTCACAGACTTGTGCAAACACACACTTGTGTAAGCAGATTCACACACAGAGAGCCACCCATTACACCGGCACTCACATGCTCAGCTTCTCCTCACCCTCTCTCCCCTCCGACTGGCTGGTGTCTGTTGCACTTCCAAGAGGGGACCCAGGTGTGATCAGAGAGACCCAAACCTCTCTCTCCCCTCCCCCAGCCTGGCAGGGCATAGCTCCACCCTGCCTTCTAGGACCACCGCTTCCCCAGCCCTCTCCTCCCTGGGGCTGATCGGGGGAGGGGAGGCAGTTACTGTGCTGGCTGCAGCTGTGGGTCTGGTCTGGGGGGGATGGGGAGTGAGAAGCTGGCTTCATCCTCTCTACAGCTATCCAGGCAAAGCTACTGGGCACCAGATACCCCCTGTACCCACATGCTCTGGCCCTTCCCTTGCACTGCTGTTTGGTGGCCTCCCCAGCAGCCCATCGCTCACCAGAGAAGGGCCGGGGCCGAGGCCGACCCAAACAGCAGCCTCCTCATCATATGTGTGATGGGGGCTCATCCGCTCCTGGTCCCCACCCACGGGGGATGCTAAGCTCATCGCCGGAGGATTTCACTCAGGCTGGTGCCTGATGCATCCCCCAGGAAGGAAGGGGCAGCAGATACACACTTCACTCTGCCAATTACCCCAGAGCCATCTCGGGGAGGAGGGACCCGAGCGTGTCCATACTGGGCAGTACACGCTCCAAAGGGTGAGGCACAAAGGCAGAAAAATGCCCTTGCATATGCCCTGCTGGCCCCAAGCCCAAACCAGCACCAGTCCTGCCCTCTTTCATTTGGCTCAGAGCATCTCAGGAGAAATACTCCCACCAGCCAAGGAAGCAAATACAGCAGCTGCTCTAGGGGAGGATGCAGTGTCAGGAATCAGGGAGGCCATGGAAAGGTTGCAGGCTCGCTCCTGCCCCCCCAGCAGACCAGGGAGACGCAGAGCAAAACCCTGCTACTGGTGCTCCAGTGCATCAGTTACATGGGGAGATGAGCCCAGAGCCCCGGGGGTGACGGCCACTTGGAAGAGCTCCTGGCCTCTTTCAGCCATCGGGGTGTTCCTGGCCCCGAGGGGAGCTGCAGCTCTGGGAGGGGCAGTGGGGTCAGACATGGCGGAGCAGTGCTTGTGCACCGGTTGCCACCCGTCTGCATCTCTGTGGTTTCCTCCTGGCCAGGTCTCTGCTCTGCGCTCAGTAGGGACGAGGGAGCGGGCGGGGAAGGCGTGTGTTGGGGGGAAGTGGTTCATGGCTGGGGCCTATTTATCGCACCATCTCATTATCAGGAAATGAGCAGAGATCATATTATCTCTGAATAAACAGAGATAACAAGACCCAGACGTGCCCCCCCATCTCTGTTCCTGCGTGCCTCCAGGCCCCCTCCCCTCCCTTTTCTCCCCTCCAAGCCCCCATGCAAATGGCTCAAAACTGATGCACCCCCCCATGCCTCATCCTCCAGTCCCCATGTAACTCATCCATCCCCCACATGCTGCGCGTCCCAACTCCACCCCCACAGCCCTCGGCCTTCAACTTGGCCTCTCCCTACCCCCAACTCACTTCACTCCCCTTTGAGCAGGGATCTCAGCTGCAATATCCGTTAGGCAAACAGGCTTCCTCTCTGGGTGCCTAACCCCCCTGTGCACCTCCCCCATTCCTCAGCCAGCATCCCCCCAGCATGGTAACAACAGCTAGTGCAGCTCATATTAGACCATCAACCTTTTGTTTAGCCCACAGGCTCATTGGGGGAGGGGCAGGGTTGGGGGAGCCAGGGCCAGGCTGGCAGGGGCTGTGGGCCGTGAGCGAGGGGCACCCCTGCAGTAGTGACACTGGGGCCATAGTGCAGAGAGAGGGGCACAAGCCAGCCTGGGTCGCCGTGACCCAGGACCGAGGTGATAAAGCCCCTGTGTGCATTGGCATTGGTCCAGGGATGAGCCTCCCCACAGTGCCCAGCCCACAGGCTCAGAGTCCAGGCCCAGCCACCATGCAGCTCCTGCCCAGTGTCCTGCTCTGCCTGCTGCTGGTCCCAAGAGCCATGCTGGGGGCCCAGGAGAAGGCACCCACCTCCCGGCTCTACAACCAGGTTGTCATGGTGCCCCACGGGGGCTCGCGGGGGGCCTGGGGGCCCATGGAGATGTGCCCTAAGGACACCTATGCCAACGGCTTCGCCCTAAAGGTAGCCACTCTTCCCCCTAATGACACCCCCTTTCTATCCCTTCCTGCTGCCCCCAACATCCTCCTTATCTCCCACCCCCCCCATCCCCTCACTGACCCCTCAGCCCATCTCTGCCCCCACAGGCGCCCCCCTACCAGGGCGATGCCCTGGAGGAGGAAGACACAGGGCTGAACGGGATCCGCCTGCACTGCTCTGACAGCACCAGCCTCCTCTCCAGCGTGGTAGAGTGAATCCCAGACACCAAGGTCCTGCTGCCCCACTGCACGGAGCCCTTCCCTCACCTGCACTGGGCCCCCACCCTGTGTCCCTTTCTGAGACAGTCCCCTCCCCATGGGCTGGGGCCCAGAAACAGCTGAGAGAAGCTGGAAGGGGTGGGGATGAGCATGGGGGGGAGGGAGGAATGTGTAGATGCAAGGACTGGGGATAGGTGGTCCTAGGAACTGTGCTGGGGGGCAGAGAAGAGGAGTGAATGGAGAGAGGGTATGTCTACACTACAAAGTTAGTTTGAACTAACGTCTGTTAGTTCGAACTAACTTTCATAGGCGCTACACTAGCGCTCCGTTAGTTTGAATTTAATTCGAACTAACGGAGCGCTTAGTTCGAACTAGGTAAACCTCATTCCACGAGGATTAAGCCTAGTTCAAACTTACTAGTTCGAATTAAGGGGTGTATAGACCCTTAATTCGAACTAGTGGGAGGCTAACCCACCCAGGTTTCCCTGGTGGCCACTCTGGAGAGAGAGAGACATGCTTGTCCCTCTCTGTAGCTGCAGAGAAGTCCCTCAGAGAGACAAAAGGGAGAAAGGAAAAAAACCCAAATTCCTTTGTCCCAGGTTGAAAAATCCCACCTACATTCCTATTGGTCACTCCACCTGGCTAGGTGTAGTTAACCCCTTAATCCCCAGGCTGCTGGCTAATCCTCATAATTATGACAGGGCCAATGTAGACGTAGCCCAATAGTTAAGGGTCTGTCAATGTTAGCTGCTCAGTGAAGTCATTTTTTTCAAGGAATGATACCAGCTGGCTGTTACTACTAGCTCCAGGCTGACATTTAGCCTACATTTAGTTGGGATTGGTCCTGCCTAGGGCAGGGGGCTGGACTTGATGACTTCTGAGGTCTCTTCCAGCTCTATGGTTCTATGATTCTGCCCAAGTAACCAGGGTTGCTGGGGCTCCCTTTCTTCTCTACTTCCCCACTCCTAGGTCCTTTGTCCCTCTTGGTTGGGACCAGCTGGGTCCTCTCCCCGCAGCCCATTGGCCTCCCACTGGCCAAACCCGGCTGTGCCATCCCAGCTGGGTCTCCCGGTCACTGGGGGCTCCAGTTCTGTGCTGGTCCCGCAACAACAAACTCCCTCCCCCTCCCCTGGTTAAACCAGTAACAGCTGGGGACACTGAGTGCCCCCCCTGTGGGTAACCCCTTTGAACCCCCACAAGCCCTCCATTTCCTCACATCTCTCTCCTGTTCAAGCATGGGTGGTTGGTGAAAGCAGGTCTGGGAGAGGCAAGCCGCAGCCCCACCTCCAGCTCTGCCCTTTTGCTTGTCCCCACCCCTTTCCCACCCCCAGGAAGTGGGGTGGCGTGTCACGTGAATGATCCCCTTTCCGACTATGGGGAGGTCAGGGAAGGGGAGGAGAGCGGGCATGTGTGTGCTCACTGAACCCTCCTTGTGCCTGGTGGAATGCACACCGTGGGCTGAGCCCAGCCAGGCCTCTCACCTGCAGAACCGGGAGGGCTAGTGCTGGGGGCTAGTGCCTGCAGCAGATGTTCTGGGGGCGGAATGTGGGCAGAGCCTTCCCCCACTTTACATACCCGATGCCGAGGCCTTCTGGTCTGAACTGAGCTGGGTCACTCAGCCAGAGGCCTGGGGAAGTTCAGAGGTAAAGCATCAGCTGTGACGTTAGCACTCCCCTTCACGTGGACCCACCTCCATGTCGTAATCCCGCAGGAGCAGGCCCCAGCTCGGCAGCTCGGCGTTGGCCCCTTTCACCTGGTGCAGCCAGGTCAGGGGGCGGGGGCAGCGCACACCGGGAATCTCCGCCCAAACAGACAGGGCTGCAGCGTTGGAAGGGCCCAGCCCGGGACCAGGCGTTGCTTCTCTGGCTGTTCCCGGGGCAGTAGCGTCTATCCTGGCGCAGTAGCGTCTTTCTGAGTGCACAGTGGGGCGCTTCTCCCCACTAGGCCAGTTTGCATCAGCACCACGCCCAGCCCGGGCTCTGGGGCTGGGTGAACCCCAGGAAGGATTTGCTAAAATCCGGATTGACCAGCTGTGGGCCTTGGACTAGTGCCGCCTTCAGCGCACAGAGAGCCCCCTGGCACTGTCCCTGAATGGGTTCTTCCGGTCCCAAGAAACCAGCCACAGATCCTAATTAATTTACACTCTGGATCTTACTCACAAGATCACGCTGAGCCAATCCTTTAGAATCTAAAATCTAAAGTTTTATTACCAAAAGAAAGAAAAGCATGAGAGTGAGGTTGTTAAGGAGAATACATGACATGCATCAAATCACTCAGTTCTCCTTCGAATTAAGTTAGTTCGAATTAGTGCTGTAGTGTAGACATACCCTTATATACCTGTCCTGGCATCTTTCTGGCCAGAACAGGTCATTGCAGGTCACATGGTCCAATGACCTATCCCTGTGTCCCACATTGGCTGCCCTTGATCCTTGGCTGGTTTGCAGGTATCAGTCACATTCATGAGGTGTGTATTGGCACCTAGAGCTTCATTGTCTCCTCGCTAATTAGCATAGCCGCTGGCTGAACATTCTTTGCCCATTGCTCTGCCTCAGACAGAGAACCTTCCAGCGTCCATAAAGAGTACATATTTATAACTCCACATGCAGATGCTAATTCGAACTAGTTTTTAGGTCTAGATGCACTAATTCGAATTAAGTTAGTTCGAATTAGTGCTGTAGTGTAGACATACCCTTATATACCTGTCCTGGCATCTTTCTGGCCAGAACAGGTCATTGCAGGTCACATGGTCCAATGACCTATCCCTGTGTCCCACATTGGCTGCCCTTGATCCTTGGCTGGTTTGCAGGTATCAGTCACATTCATGAGGTGTGTATTGGCACCTAGAGCTTCATTGTCTCCTCGCTAATTAGCATAGCCGCTGGCTGAACATTCTTTGCCCATTGCTCTGCCTCAGACAGAGAACCTTCCAGCGTCCATAAAGAGTACATATTTATAACTCCACATGCAGACATTATACAAGTACATGAATACCATATACAGAATCAGTAGAACAGAAGCTTTCATGTGACATCTCACATGGCCCCCTTTGTACAGACTTTTGGGGAAACCCCCACCATGGTTGCAACAGTGATCCTAAGATTCCAATAACATGACAAAGGGGTAGGCCAGAACCTCTGGCCCAAGATAGGGGAAACTGAGGCATGATTCCTCTTAAAGTGAGGAATAAGGGATCTTTCGGAAAAGGCTTTATTTTCCGAAAGATCCGCGTCTAGACTGACGCTTTTTTCTGGCAAAACTCCAAGCCGGAAAAAAGCGGCAGCCATTTTTATGCAAATGAAGCGGGGGGATTTAAATTCCCACTTCATTTGCAATTGTGATGTGTCTAATTTGCATCCCTTTTGCGGAAAAGGGATGCAGTGTAGACACAGCCAGGGTGCATCTAGACTACATGGCTCCATCAATGGAGCCGTGTAAAGAAGTTTACTCGGCATAGTCAAAGAAGCGGGGATTTAAATAATCCCTGCTTCATTAAAATAAAAATGGCCGCCGTGCTGTGTAGACAATCAGCTGATCTGAAGCCTTTGTCAACTGCTCTGGAATTCCTTGTGAAATGAGGTTGACAGGAGTGGTTGACAAAGGCTTCCCTTGTCAACCCCGCCACGTCTAGACTGCCGCATTGTGCCGGATCAGCTGATTGTCGGCACAGCGTGGTGGCCATTTTTATTTTAATGAAGCGGGGATTATTTAAATCCCTGCTTCTTTGACTATGCTGAGTAAACTATTTTACATGGCTCCGTCAACGGAGCCATGTAGTCTAGACGTACCACAGGGGCTCAGGGGGGCAAAGAATGGGACACCCACTCCCACCTGGCCCAAAGGCAGGGATTGACTGGCTCAGAGGGGTTGGGGAATGGGCAGGGGTCTGAGATAGTTGCCTGATGTGCCCATCCTTTGTGATCTCTGCAAGAGGCCCCCTCTGTGGGTGGCTCCCATGTTCTCCCCCTAGTCTGGTTGCTGGCTCCTGCCCTCACTGAGCTACCCCTGGCAGCTCCTGGCTTTGTTCAGCAGTGGCACCAACCCTCCCCCTCCCCCTCCCCCTGTCGAAGCCCAGCTGGCTTCAGAACGTGTCTGGCTCCCCAGGGACTCTGAAGAGCCCAACACGGCTCCCGGAAGTCAGGGCTGGCTCTCTGCAGCCTCTCCTGCTTCATCAGCCAGTACCTGGAACCTGGTTAGACTGGTCCTGGCTCTTGCACCAAGACTGCAACTTCCCCAGGCAAGTTCCCTGCTGAGTTAATTAGCTGAGTGACTCCAGTTCCTGGAGAAAGCATCATTTTACTCCAGGCCAAGCGGAGCGGGGAGGATCCGCACCAGTAGCCTCTAACACTGCCTGCCGTGGAGGCTGGCTCTGGCTGTCATGCGCATTCCAGGTCATGTGAGACAATCCTTCCCAGCATCTGTCACAGCCTTCAGTCCATCCTCAGCCCTGCTCCCGCCTCTCCCCGCTGGCCCTTACCGCCCCAGGGCCCGGCCCTGAATACACGTTAGCTGATCTCTGAAACCCCTTCCATGCTTGTCCCCCACCCCGCAGAACGGTCGCCTCCCTCCCGCTGTGCCTCAACTTACCATCTGTTCAGGAAGGCTTTCAAGGCTGAAGGAGAGTGGTTGCCTTTCTGCACCCAGCCCTGTGGGATTTTAGCCCTGACATAGGGGGCACTTCTGGGCCCAGAGCACCAGTTTCAAAGCCACACAGCATAATGATAGGAATGGCTAAGGAGAAGGCTGCGTCCAGTGTCAGTGTGGCATCAACCAGACTGTTCCTCTGGGAAGTTCCTTGCATGCGAGCAAGTGCTCAGTCTTGGGAGAAACGCTGTGAGGGAATTTTGTGAGTTTTTGCCACCTTTTGGAGGAAGCTGTGGCACTGAAGAGACCAGATTTCTCCTCAAGTAGGTGCTGGGGACTGAGTCGCTTCTTGGGAAGTAGGCACTGGTGTCTTGGTGAGATTTCGGATGAAGGGGTTCGGCCTTAGGTGCTGTTCCAGGGCCAGGATCTAGAGCATAAAATAGACCCGTTTCTGGATGAACCCTACATAGCTTTGACAAAGTGGGGGATATGGGGGCTGGGCTGGAAGGAGGGGGCTACTGGACTGGGCAGGGGAGCAGGCAGAGCCCACCGGGCTGCCAGGAGGGGTAGGGGCCCGAGAGCAGGCAGAGCCCACCAGGCTGTCACAGTGGAAGGGGCTTCCTCGGGGACTATATGGGCCAAGCATGGGCACCAGCTAGGAGTCTGGGACCTTCTCTCTGTTAGCTCAATGTCCTGGCACAGGGGTGGGTGAGATGCAGCCTGGGGGCCATATCCGGCCCCATCTAACTCTTTGATCTGGTCTGATCAGAGGCTGAATCAGGATGCCTGGGGCAGAGCAGCTAGGGTGCTGCTTTTATTGCACAAGAGCATCGTGCATAAGAACAGGTCCACACTGCCATGTGCGAAAAGTGCTTTTGCGCAAGAGCATCCATGGCAGTGTGGAACTGTTCTTACGCACGATGCTCTTGTGCAATAACCTCTCTTGCACAAGAAAGCTCTGATGGCCATGGTAGCCATAGGGCTTCCTTGCGCAAGAAACCCCTGTCGCGTGTCCACACTGCCCTCTTCGCAAGAGGACTTACACCTGTTAGAAAAGAGCGTAGCTCTTGCGCAGGAAGCCTCTCTTACCACGCTGTTCTGTAAATCTTCTTGCGCAAGAGCGAGTGGGCAGTGTGTACGCGTTGCAGAAGAATGGCTGTTCTTGTGCAATAACCCACCAGTACAGACATAGCCCAAGGGCTGCCAGGTGTCCGGTATTGGCCCAGACAGTCCAGTACTTTCGGCTTCTGTCTGGTAAAAAAACAGAAAATACCGACATGTAAAATGTCTGGTATTTTCTGTTTTTGTCAGATGGAAGGCCGTTTGGGACATTCTTCCCCTGCTGTATCTGGTGTGGTGGGGAGTGTGGGATTTAATGGTGCTGTGACATTTGGGGGGGGGGGCATGGGGTTTTTTTGCTCAACAACTTTGGTCCCCACCATATTCAGTATTTTTTGTGAAACTATCTGGCAACCCTAGCTAGACCCAACCTCACCCCTTCCACCCCAGGGGGTGGAGCCAGCCCTTGACTATGTACCAAAATTCATTAAGTGGCCCCCTTGTGAAAATAATTGCCCACCCCTGTCCTGGTGTCTCTTGGCATACGGCAGATTTTGTGATCCTTTAACCAGACACCAAAGACTGTCTCCACTCCTACATGAAATTCCCATTTATGCAGACCAGGGTGACATTAGTTGTTTTGGCCACGGTGTTGCGTCTGGCTGATTATTCACCGGGCCCCTCCAAATCTGTTTCAAAGCCGCTGCATCCCAGGAGAGATCTCCTTGTCCTATATGTAAGGGGATGTTAGCCCCGGTACCAAAAGGGGATGGGTCCATGAGAAATCAGGGCCCTGAGACGGACAGACCCCAGAGACAAGGGAAAGCAGCCAACACTCCAGCTCAGCCTGATTGACAAGTTGGACAGGCCAGTGAGAAAAGCAAGAGGCCAGGACCCGTCCTCCGTGTGAGCTGGGATTGTTCTGGGTCTCTCTGAGCAAGGAGAGAGCTGAGAGACAGCCCAAGGAGTGCAAGCTGTGCTGAGGGGCAGTTTTTGCAGCAGCAGAGCCAGATACACACAGCTCAAGGAGCACAGACCCTGTGTTGAGCAGCAGACTGGCAGTGCTCAGAGAGCCAAAAGGAACAGAGAAGCAAGGCAAGGAGCTAGAGGCTGGCCAAGCAGCACAGCCTGCAGCTGGGTGTGGTGAGCAGCTGGGAACTGCAAAGTGTGGGGAGAGGCTCTGGACTGG